TTAATATCTATATATCTATATCTATCTATATGATGGCAAGGTCCCAGGACAGCAACTGCTTTTTCATCAGAAATAGACAAGGTGACAAATCTAAGTATGTTGTTAAGAGTTAATGTGATATAGGGGAAGAAGCTTAGAATTTGGATTGGTAAAGAATTTGGAAGCAGAAGATTTGAGTTCTTTTCCAGTTTTGACATTTCCTTATCTCTAAAATGGTGATGATAAAACCTAACCTACAGTGTCACTACAGAAATCAAATAAAATAGTACAGATAAAAAAGGCACATATACAATGTACAAGCATTAAATGTTCCTTCAAGTATGTTAAGCTCCTCAAAACTAGAATTAATCTTATCTTTCTTATGCTTTATACTTAGCACAATCTCAGACTCACAGAAGAATTTGGTAAGTGTTACATGTATAAATAAATGATCACCCAGAAACCACACCAAAAAAAAGATCATCTAGTTGCATGCATAGTTGGGCAAGATATAGTTTATAACATGCAAATGTAAGATTAAAACCATTTATGCCAAAATATAAAGAATATGTAAGTGAACCAGATATGTATTTATCAGTATGTTCATTCTATATGTATAATATAGCCAAACATGTATGTATATGGTTTAACAGTTTAAATGTATTGTATAAACAGAAAATATAAATGAACTGTGATCTTTTAATGGAACAATCACAGTCAAAGCACCTGAGATTCACTGAAGTAAAAAACAAATTTCTACTTGGGATGATTATTTAACTTAGCATGTTCACAGCAATATGTTGCTATTACTGCCAAATATTTGTTCATATCTGATTACGCCTTAGCAAACCTTCCCGAATGCAGTTTAAATTTTGTTCACAATGTAAAAATCTTACTATCAAAGTCAACGCCTTCACTTTCACAATTCTGGGGAGCATATCAATTTTAAAAATAAAAACTAAAAAGATAATTGAAGGAAGATGAGTTACCTGGGTCTATAGAGGCAATAACACAGGTGTTTAGTTTTAACTTTTTTGGCTTGAATGAAAATTCTCATCCATGGGTCAAAATACAGAACAGACGCGTAGGCTCTGAATGACCATCTCTCTGGAAAACTGGAATAGAAAATACCAAAGGCCACAATGTAGAGGACACACGAAATCTCTTTGACAAGAAAAAAAATCAGACTATCAGGTTATAATGGTTACTACTAGAAGCTACAGGAACTTTTCTTCTAAAACTAATGATGCCACAAACA